TTGCACCCATTCTGTGTCATCCAGTTTGACTTCTATCAGGACCCGAAGTGATGAAATTTATACTTCAATGGGTAGTACTGCTTCCATTCCATAAGCTAGTGAAAATAGAGTTACCCAGTCGAGGTTCGTATCGAGGTTCGGTAAGCGAACAAAGCGAAAGGCAACTTTTCATGCCAGTCTTTGTAGGTTTCAGTCGTTTTATCCACTATATTTTTAATGTTTTTGTTTGTTTCTTCTACTGCTCCATTCATCTTTGGTCTATAGGAAGTAGAATTGTGATGCTTTATGTTGAATTGCTCACAAGCAGCCTTCATCATTTTGTTGTTCAAGTTTGTAGCATTATCGGTGATGATTCTTTCAGGTAAACCATACCGACATATGATCTCTTTCTTCAAAAACTTGCAAACAGTGGACTGAGTGACACTAGCATAGGAAGTAACCTCTACCCACTTGGTGAAATAATCGATGGCTACAAGGATGAAACGGTGACCATTTGAAGCCTTCAGATGTATTTGCCCGATAACGTCCATACCCCACATAGAGAAAGGCCATGGTGATGTCATGACATGAAGTGGAACATTTATTTAGCTTTGTAAATTTGGTATTTATGATATCTTCTTGCATAGTTGATGCAATCACTTTCCAGTGTAGACCAGAAATATCCGCATCTCATTATTTGTCTCGACATCATATGTTCATTTGCATGTGTTCCACATACTCTGTCATGTACTTCTTCTACTATCATCTTAGCCTCTTCTGCATCTACGCACCTTAACAGGATTCGATCATGACTTTTCTTGTACAAGACCTCTCCATCAAGGACATATCCAGCTGTCATCTTTCTAATGGTTCTTTTATCAGTTTCGATGGCTTCTTTTGGATAATTTCGATGCTTGATGTATTGTAGAATGTCGTAGTACCAAGGCTTAGTGTCTTTCACTTCCTCGATTTGGTAACAATGAGCAGGGTATTTATACGACTGTATGTTAATTGGCATCATTTCAGACTCTCCGCCAGCCTTGAATGCAGCTACCAAGGTAGCTAAAGCATCAACCATTTGATTTTCTTCTCTTGGTACATAGTGGAAGGTGACCTCATCGAACTCTTCAAGCAGATCCAATACTAGTTTCCGGTACTCTGCCAGCTTTATATCCTTGGTTTTCCATTCTCCACGGAGCTGATAAATTACTAAGGATGAGTCTCCGTATACCCTTAAGGCCTTTATATTTTGCCCCAGTGCCACTCGAATTCCCAAGACACATACTTCATACTCTGCCATGTTATTGGTGCAATCGAAGTTCAGTCTGCTGGTAAATGGCTAATGACTCCCTTCTGGAGAGATCAGGATTGTCCCAATACTGTGTCCTAATGCATTTGATGCACCATCAGAATGTATTCTCCAGGAACTATCTACTGAAGCATCTGTTTTTTCTAAGGATATAGCCATCAAGTCTTCGTCTGGAAATCAAAGTCCAGCGGCTCATAGTTCTCATCGGTTCTGTTTGCCAAGAAATCCGATATGACCTTTCCTTTTACTGTTTTCTGGCTCATATACTCAATGTCAAATTCAGACAATAACATCTGTCATCGGGCTAACCTTCCAAATAGAGCAGGCATACCCATCATGTACTTTAGTGGATCTAACTTGGAAATCAGCCAAGTAGTGTGATACAACATGTATTGTCAGAGTCTTTTTGTAGCCCAGACTAGAGCACAACAAACCTTCTCGATAGGAGGATATTTGACCTCGCAATCGGTGAACTTTTTGCTCAGATAATAAATGGCTCTTTCCTTTCTTCCAGATTTGTCATGTTGACCTAGGATACACCCTATTGAGTTCTCGAATATGGATAGATACGAGAACAGAGGTTTAACTGGGATAAGGGAAATCAGGATAGGAGTACGAAACAAATACTTCTTTACTTTTTGGAATGCAATCTGGAAGTTTTCATGCTCCAGGGCTATTATTTCGGAGAAGACGAAAGATAGGGTCACATTTATTGGTAACTGAGATATGAACCGTGCTATGTAGTTCAATCTGCCCAGGAATCCTCGGAGCTCTTTTGTGTTCATGGAGGAGGCAGGTTCTAGATAGCCTTGACTTTATCAGGATCAACTTGATGCATTTCCTACTTACCACAAAGCCTAATAACTTCCCGGATATTACCCCAAAGGTGCATTTGCTAGGGTTCAGTTTTAGCTGGAACTTTCTCAATCTCTGGAAGAGCTTTCTCAGATTCTCGACATGTTCATTCTCAGTTTGTGCCTTGAAAATCATGTCGTCGACATAAACCTCGATCTCTTTGTGCATCATATCGTGGAACATGGTTATCATAGCTCTTTGATAAGTTACCCCAGCTTTTTTCAATCCGAAGGGCATCACTTTATAGCAAAAAGTTCCCCACATTGTAATGAACGTAGTCTTCTCCATGTTCTCAGGATGCATCTTGATCTGATTGTACCCTGAAAACCCGTCCATAAATAGAAAAAAGGCGTTCCCGGCTGTATTGTCCACCAGAGTGTATATGTGTGGCAGAGGAAAGTTATCTTTGGGACTTGCCTTATTAAGGTCCCGGTAATCGACACACATACATACTTTCCCATCTTTCTTCGGTACAGACACTATGTTGGCCACCCACTCCGGATATTTGGCCACTTGAAGAAAATCGGCATCAAATTCCTTCTTGACCTCTTCCTTGATCTTAAGGAGCATTACTGGTCGCATTCTCCTTAGTTTTTGCTGCACAGGTTTGCATTCTGACTTGATAGGCAGTTTGTGAACTACCATATATGTGTCTAATCCCGGCATGTCTTGATACGACCAAGTGAACACATCTTTGTACTCCTGAAGTAAGACTATCAGGTTTTGTCTTGCTTCAGTCGAAAGAGTTGTGCCAATTTTAACCTCATTTTGATCTTCTTCAGTACCCAGATTCAGAATTTTGATCGCCTCCTCGTGTGGCAGTATTTGTTTATCTTCTCTTTTTACCATTCTCAACAATTCGGCAGGCAGGTTGCACTCCTCTTCATTGTCGCATTCATCAAATTCCCCGAGATAAATGGTCGATTAATAATCCGCTTCTGAGTTAGGATCATCAGTGCCTACATTATCGGTATCTGGGGACCTGAAGGAAACAAAGAATGTGTATGCGTAAGAGGAAAACATCCCACACAGAATAGTCAAGAATTAAATTTGAAAGAAAATAGAAATGAATTACTGAAATGAAGAAGGTAGAAAATGAATTCAAAAAAACAAAATAAGAATAAAGAAAACTTGTTTGCCATGGAAAGGGAAAATATATCTTCTATTGAAATTAAACAATAACGTTCATTCACCCTTACAAAAGATCACCTATTGCCCTGAGTATAGGCAAATAGGGATAGTTCGAATATTACTCTGAAAGACTCTTGTAAACCACATATAGTTCTTCCACCGACCAATTGCTAGGCACAAACCCAGGTGGCAGAAGGTAAATTCTGGATCTATCTGCATTGTCAACATCTTCTGTGGTCACGGCATTGATGCTCAGATCTTTAAGAGTCGCTTCTAAGTCAGATGAGGTGGTCTCAAACACATAACCACCTGATTTGAATGTGTGGCAAAGAGGCGGGAATGTCATGGGTTCCCATTGAAGTTCACTTCTAGTCAACCTGGCTATTCTTCTCTCCCGGTTCTTCTAGACCTCCTTCATCTTTTCATGATAACTGGGCTGAAAACCGAGCCCAAACTGATCTAGTTTCGAAATAGGAAGAACTAGATTAATCATTCCTTGCAGATGCTTCCCAAACCCTTTTCCGATTCTGGCGCCTCTTCCCAAAGTTTGCATGATCTCCATCTTGGTATACTTGGAAAGCTGGGGTTTAGGAATCCTTCTTCCTTCTACCACGAATATGGCATTCACAAACTCCAAGAAACGGAATAAACATTTTACCGCTTCCTCGTCTACTTCGATGTATGGGGCTTTCGTGGTTACGCTTGCCACGATATCTTCCTTAGCATTGATGATTACTAAGGCCCTGCTAATAACAAATTTAACTTTTTGATACAGTGTGGACAGTACTGCACCGGCTTGATAAATCCAAGGTTTTCCCAAAAGACAGGTATAAGAAGGCATAATATCCATCACTAGAAACTCGACATTGTAGATGGCTGGTCCGATTGTTAACGACACCTAGATCTTGCCAATAACCTCTCTTTTGGTCCCATCAAATGCTCAGACCACATTCTGGCAAGCTCTCATATGTGAGGTATCTATTGGCAACCTCTTTAATATGACTAAAGGCATTACATTCATGGCTGAACCGTTGTCAATTAAGACACTTGATAGGGCATGCCCCTTGCAATATGTGGTGATATGTAATGCCTTTGTTCGGCCTCTTCCTCCGGATGGAATCTCATCATTCGAGAATGAGATGAGATTATCAGCTTGAATATTGTTCACCAGTCGATCCATCTTGTTGACTGGTATATTCTGCGGAATGAATGTTTGATTTAGGACTTTCAACAGTGCCTCCCGATGTGCCTCAGAATTTAACAAAAGTGCCAACATTGAAGTACGTGTTGGTAAGTTGTGGAGCTGTTCTACAATATTTTACTCGCTATGCTTCAAGAATTTAAGGAACTCTTTAGTTTCCTCCTCTTTTATGGGTTCGTTGATAGCTAGTACATCCTCCTTGAAGGGCTTAAGTGGTTTCTGCCCCACTTTGCTATCACATTCTTTGGAAGTACTCACATGACATTCGTACTTTCAAGGCACTTTTTGATTGTCCTTGTACTGAAAAGGCCGAGGTGCTGTGATAATCACCTTGGCTTGTGTTGTTGTTGTCTTTACTTTAGGGGTAATTATCAAAGGACTACCCCTACCGATTCTTTTGTCTGATGATTCTCCGGTAGCACAAACATCTGCTTCTGGGGAATCCTAAACTTCTTCGTAAAATTCCAGATCTTTCTTGTCCATCATGAGCTAGACTAATGACTTGAATTCTGGGCAATCTTGCACCTTATGTCCTTCTTTGTTGTGGTAACGGCAGTGATTACCACCTTCAATCCTTGTTGCACGTGACTGGGGTGCAAGAAGCCTCACCTTTACCATTTGGCTCCAAACCCAAGCCAAAAGATCTTTAACTTTCGAAATACTGGTCTTGATTCTCCTGCCATTCTCTGTGGTGATTGCATTTATTTCAGTTTCCGGATGATTAGGTAAGGGATTATGGGTCATGTTTGGTGTTCCGGAGTTGAAATAGATCCAGTTTTTGTTCCACATTCGTTATACAATCCTCTTGAATGCGAGACAATTTTCAATTGAGTACCCCTACACACCGCTATGATATTCGCAGAGGGCGTTCTTGTCGAACCATCTCGGGTAAGGAGGCTTTATTTGATCCATAGGGTAAGACGACACTGCATGAGTATCGAAGAGTTATTGGTATAACTCTTTATACGTCATGGGAATGGGATCAAACTTCTCCCTTTCCTTTTCCCTTTCCTTCCTTGGTTCTCTCTAAGTTTGATTAGAAGTACCGGATAGTACAACTGTAGTGGTTTTTGAACTTGAGATCGTGACACATTTGTTAGCATTGTAGGTGTTGATATTGTTGATCTCTCGCTCTTTTTTCTTCATGGGAGGCTTCTTACTGGAGTCTTCTCCTCAATATTTCCTTGTTTGATGGCCAGTTCGATCATTTCACTGGCCATGACTAAATCTGAGAAACTTCCCGACGTGATTACCACCAGGTGCCCGAAGTAAGGTGCCTTTAGGGTCTGTACAAACAACTTTCTAGTTTCCTTTTCATCCAAGGGTGGATGAACTTGGACAGACAAATCCCTCTATCTCTGTGCGTACTGTCGAAAACTCTCATTATGCTTCTTCTCCAGGCTCTGCAGCATAACTCGTCTGGTCTCATATCATTAATGTGCTTATACTGCTCTAAGAAAGACTTGGATAAGTCTTTCCACGTCTTGATATGAGTTCGGCTAAGCTGGTTGTACCACCGGATAGCTGAATAGGAAAAACTCTCCTAGAAGCAATAGATCAGGAGTTGGTTATTTCCCCCATATCCTGTCATCTTCCAACAGAACATGATGATATGGGATGAATGGCAGCTGTTCCTGTTGAACTTCTCGAACTCCGGGACTTTGAATTTTGGTGGAAACACCAAATCAGAAACCAAGCTCAGCTCCATTTCATCCACCCCGTAATAGTCGTGGTCCTGTTTGACCATTTTCATCTGGTCTTCCAACATTCTAATCTTATCTTCCATTTTCTTTGCCTTATCCTCTTCGTCAAAATCCGGGATAGGGCAGTCGTCTGGATGATTGTCAGGGTTAATTATAAAAGTTTGTATATTTGCAACCGATACAACTTTCCCTTTGGTGGCAGATGAATCACCTTGCAATCCAGGTAAGATCCCGGATGAGACAACCACTTGTGGGGTCAATGGTATAGTTGCCCTTTCGGATGAACCTGCCCCTGGTACACTGGCCTGGTGTAAATCTGACAACTTAGTCACGATTTGGTCTACCAAAGATTCCTGACTTTTTGTGATGGAATCCAGGGTACTCATACTATTTTGGGCTATCTTATCTTCAAGTTCTTTATGTAATTTCGCCATGTTCTCCTCGATTTTCTCAATTCTGGCTTCCATTTGTTTCTTCTTTGTCCGAGTACTGTGCGGATGATGTGTGTCTTGAGCTCGTGGAGGTAAACTTGGTGTTTGCTCTTTCTCTTTCTGAGACATGTTCTGTTAGTTAATACGAATGTAAAAACATGAAAAACATATAAAATGCAAAGAATGTAATGCATGATGTGTATATAATTTAGAGGTATTGATCTAGAAAAGTGTTCGTTATTATAAATAATCCTCATTTAAATAAAAAATGTTTTATCTTTTAAGAAACATAAAGACAATCTTAAAGGTACATCCGGACTAAATCATCCAGACCCCGAACATCTTCTAATATGTTGACAAATATTCTTCATTCATTTGTCACTGGTTGAATGCCTTGTCGAACCATTCCAGCTTCCCTTGCTAGGCTATGTAGATGACGGGCTATCTGCTGTACTTGATCTAGGAAATCATGGATGACTGCGTCTCTGTCCTTCACCCTTTCCTGAGCTTGCTCCCAACGAAAACACCATTGTAAACCTCTATCAAATGGCACCATCTGAAGCTCGCTTGCTTGCTTCTTGAACCCATCCATAATGGCTTCTAACTCAGCTATTTTTTTGCCATATTTCTCATGTTGTTTATCCAGATCAGCCACCTGGATTCTCAAGCATTGGTTATGATGTTGATTATCTACTAACCACCTTTGAGCAGTCTTCAGCTACTCATCAGACCCCTCAAACTTCCTTTTCAGGCCATGAGCTTCGTTTTTCCAGTATTCAGAAGTTCTTTTCAAATTTGAGTTATCTTTGACTTTATCTTGATACCCATTTCTCAAGTCTTCGAGCTCAAAACAGATTTTCTTCTGTTCTTTATTTAGTTTGTTTGCTCGATCTCTCTGAGTGTCAGCATTTAGCTTCCACTGATAGCGTTCAGCTTCAAGTTCTTTTACCCTCTGCTTCAACTCATTATTCACAGCTTCAAACTCTGTCTTGGTTATCTCAAGTTCGGAAGGGACATGCCTGAGATGTTCCTCTATGGTCCGGGTGTCTTCACAGTCTGGCACCGGGATGTTTTCATTTTTTCTCAATCTTCACCACTCCACATAATCCGGAATAAGCATGTCTCTTGCAGCCACAATATCCATCCAGAGCACTTTCTTCCATGAGTCAGCTAATTCTTTAATAATCTTTTTATAGTTATCACCATGGTACACAAACTCTGATGCAGATAATCCGTGAACATGAAGGATTTCCCTCATTGTTTTTTCGTCGAAGAAAGAAATGAGAAAACAAAGAGGTTCAAGGGTTCTCTTAAAATCTTGTTTGGAGAGGAGAAAGGAGAAGGAAATGAAGGGGATTTTTCTTGAGGGGATGATGTCAGAGTAGGAAAATGCAAATGATAATTAATAGAGCAGTTTGAAGGATTGTCTGTTCTGTCATGAGAAAGACAATTGACAACCAGAGAGAAACATCAACTAACCGTCCATCGAGGCAATGAAGGGCGAGACCGCGAGAGACTGAGTGAGTTAACCGTGACGCCACATTTTCCTATTTTGTTTTCAATTAAGCACATATTTCGGGGTTTCTTCTGTTCATTTGTTTTTAGTTTTTACCCGCCGTGTCCCTGAGTTGGATGATTATGGTACGGTTATTGCTTAGTTCTAACCTAATAAGCTCACTCTAAATTAAATTAAGGATAAAGTAGTCCATCGTTTATGGAATGTTATTTTATTGAGTCATTCAACTATTAAAATTATAAAATGGTTATTTAACTACAAGACATTATTTTGTTAAGTCCTCAAACTATCAAAAGTTAAAAATTGTCACTCGACTATTCATATGTTCTAATTTTCGTTAGAAAAATGACGACAATTTAAGTTAGACGTTAACTTGCTGATTGAGATATATTAAAATTTGATATCAAAATCTCAAACGACTATCATATCACATTCAACATGTTAACTTTCAACTCAGATGACTATTAATTTTTTTCTCTCGAAAATGACGAGTTTTTAACATATAAATAATCGAATGATCATTTTGTAACTTTTAATGGTCGAGGGACTTAACAAAGCAGCGTCATATAATTATAATATCATTTTATAATTTTTACTAGTCAAGGGATACAACAAAATAATGTCTTATAGTTAGGGACAATTTATATAATTTACCCTTGAATTCAAACTGGTTTGAATTGATCTTGATCCAAGAAAACTGCATAAGTAAAATAAAGGTGGTTTAGTAAAACAAATTGAATAAATTGGAATAAATAAAAATAAGAAAATTAGATGATTAAAAATAAATATGATGAGAGATAACCTCCAGCTTTGCTTCACCTCAATTTGTTTTGATCACTGAAATATATCTTGCTTTAGGATTCTTGTTGATTACAATCTACAAGGCTTAACCCTTGTAACTCGCTCTTCTCTCATGTGAACTAATTTCCAAAGTCAATCATTGGAATTTAATTATTGTTTAGATTAACAACGACTATCGATGTTAACACAAACGCTACTTTAAGTGTTGGAAAATCACGTGCTTAGATTTTTGGTGTCTCAATGAGAGTTGAACTTGATCTTGATTTCCCTTAGCGGATCGCCACGAAGTTTGTTCTTAGGAAGTTTAATTTGCTACAAGCTGATTCTTCTCCCCAACAGTAAATCAAAACAACATTCAAGTCAATGTGCAATCTTTGAATTGAAAGTGTTGAGATATTTAAAGGAAATATCGATTGTCAATCCTAGTTTGCATAAAATCAAGAAATATACATGAAGGTATGAAACACTTTTCAATTCTCACAAAACATATTGAGTTGTAGCTTAGCTTTCGACTAATTGGAGTTTGGCCAAGCATGAATTGGAGTTTACAAAAGTAAAAAGATGAAAGAAAAGTATAACTTCAATAAATAGTTAAGGAAATATAAATTTCAATATGAGTTCAAATGTTGAACCTAAATGGTATTTATAACTCGAAAGTTCTAAGTAAATAAAATGACTAATTCCTAATAAAATTAAAAATCCTACCAAGAGTTCTAATAAAATAACTAATTTCTAAATAAAATAATAATAATAAAATAATCAACCAAAAAAATCCAGTAATAATAAAATAATCAAACTAAAAATCCTAAAACTAAAAGTTTTATCACAAAAGATAAAAATAAATATTTAAGTCTTATACTTATTGTTGAATTATGCTTCATCTTATGAATAACTTTATGCTAGTTAAATTTCAATTAAATATTCAAGATAATTTGCTCATCTTCTAAAATATGCTGACTGGATCATAAAAATTTACGGTTTTTTGAACTAATATAATAAAGCTTCTGTCCAAAATAAAGATAAATAAAGATAAATCAATAATATTCAATCGAAAAATAAGGAGTAAATAAAAATAAATATATTCAATATTAAACACTTATCAGTAGATACAAATAAAATTTCAGGGTGGACACCAGTAAGAATATGTAATTAACCGAAGAAATTTCGAGTTTCAAGGTGGGTAGAAATAAATTTTTAGACACCATCAATAAAAATAGATAACTAATCGAATAAAATTTAAATTTTAAGATAGATAATTTCCTCTCTCTCAATCCTCAATGGATCCGTCTGCCCCTGTTCCAAATAATTTATGAACATATAATTCATATCATAAAAGGG